GGTTTTACTTCTCATCCGAAGGACAGCACCTGTTTTTACAGTATAGTGTCCCCGTCCCTATACTGGGGCATTAGGACCCACATGGACCGCAGGGTGAGCACCCCCTGCTGAACCCACTAACACCTCTTCCAGCAGCAACCTTAGTTTTTCATTAAGCAGATGTGAACTGACCAGTTCTGATTTGCAGAGTGATATGGCTGCTGGTTAATGTACATCTTGTCCTCTTCAGGTACCACAAAAGCTATTTTAAGAGACATAGCTGATATAGTTCATGCAGCCATTATATTCCGAAGCTTCTCAGTTGGCTTTTCATTTCTTTGGGTCAGCACATAAAATACAGAGCTCTGATGAGTCATGTCATGGGGCTTTTTTTCTTTTTTATCCCAATGTGTATGAAATGATCCTCTGTTGGCTCCTTTAAGTGCAATTCCTTTAAGTGCAAGTGGGCGGAACAGTGTCTTTGTAGCAAAGGATCTGCTCTTGTGGCTGGAATTTGCCGGTTCAAATCCTGTGGCCGGCAGAGGAATCCTACTCCTTTGGGCTCCTGAGCAAGGCCCTCAACCCCAGCTGCTCCAGGGGGTGATGTACAATGGCTGACCCTGTGCTCTGACCCCAAGCTTCTCTCCCTGTCTGTGTGTTTCATGGAGTCAAAGTTGGGGTATGCAAAAAGGATGAATTCCTAATGCATATAAGTATAAGTCTATAAGTTGCAAAAAACTAATTGTTAGATAAAGCTGCAACTCAAAACTATTTATGTCTGCTTAGCAGTAAGTGGCAATAAAAAGGAAAATGTGTATCATCATGAAAGGCAAACTGAAGTGAATTTAAAACATTAACAACCAAGGAAAACATTCAACTGAAGTAGCAGGCAAAGAGTTACCTATATGCCGTTCCAGACTGAATGTAGTGGAAAGCATCGATCTTCATCAGAAGGCTCTGTAAAGAAGACTGTTGTTATATTGATGGAAAAGTATTTCTGATCAAACATTTAAATACAATAACCAATGAACCTCAGAGTTTCTGCCACTATGCTAATATTTGCTACAGCTTTTTCACTTACGTGACAGCTTGTTGTGAAGGGCTCTTTAAATATAAAATTTGATTGGAACGTTTATGTCACTTGACAACTGTAGCACCTTTGATGCATACAGAACATGAGTACATTTGTACATTTGATAAACAATGAACCCATCAAGACTTGTACAGCTTTCAAGACTCAAAACCCATCCAGAGAACTTATGACCTAGCAATTGAAAAGTCAGTTACCTTCTGCACATCATAGTGGAGACCTCTTATAGCAAACATAAGAATATATTCATAGGTCCTAATGCCTTTAGGATACTGCAAATAAGAGAAAAGTAACTATAAATGCAAAACAGATTAACCATATTTAATTAGCTTATTCTGAAAAGACAAAGACAAAAAAAGGAGCATGCCCAAGGCTGTTACTCTTCATTAGTGCTGAGAGTGTATTGTACCTTGAACTCTTCAACCAGGATTTCTTTGGCAGTACTGAAGATCATTTTGTGCAAGGAACTTGAATACTGAGTGAGGGTGTAGTCATATTCGAAACCATAGATCTCAACTTCACCCAGGCGGATCTCATTGTTAGCGTATATTGTGGCTGGATTCAGGAGGTTACACACACCAGGGGGCAGATCTGAAAAGTAAAGCATTTTACAATTAAAAGCATTTTACAAACAAGTCCATAGACCTGTACCGAGGACACAGAATGTTTTTCACATATTATGGAGAACAAACTTCAAAAATATGTTTAGCTAGATGTCCTGAGAAACAACAATTTCACTTTTATCAAACAATTGTTTCAGCATATACTTAAAAGAGCACTGGTAGAGGTCATATCAGTGACTGTTCCCAGCAAAAACTAAACCACTTTATGTCAAGGCTAACACAGTTTCACAGTTAATACCAACTGTGGGATTTCATCTCAGAAAGCCTAAGGACAATCTGAAATTTTCTCCATAAATGAAGATGAATTAGAGGGCAGGGAACTAGTTTTAAAATCTGAATTGAAGATTTTAAAATATACTAAACAGGGTTGCTGTATATGTACTGTAGTTATGGACAGCAAAATTGAAAACTTTGTCAATTTTGTCAGCACATAATTACCACTTTCAGTTCAGGCCTGCTGACCCCAGTGTTTCTCTCTAACTACTGTAAAACCGTATAGCCTTTTGACATTGGGATACAGTTTGCTTATCAATGATTTATAACTATTATTGTTCTCTAAAACACTGCAATAAATACAGTGAGCCATTGTGTACTTAAAGATCAACCAGAATACTTGCAGAAAGTATTCAGCAGTTGACAAAAATGTGCCTACATCTGTATTTTTATCTCAATCTTAAAAGAAGTATCCAAAATCTCAAAAGAACCCTACTAAAATAAAATAGTAATTTACATTGAAAACGAACATGGAAAACAGACAAAAGTGCTCTGTATGTTCTAACTTACAAAACTGTGGTTATGTTTAGTCACATATCCGCTGCGGCACGTCCACATCGCACAAAGCAGCACTTTGTCCAGCACACCAGTTGTTCAAACCCAACATAATAACACGCTCTCGTCTACTGTCCTCCAATGAAATGGAAAACGCTACCAACACTCCAAAATAAATAACACTTAAAGGGCAACATTATACTGTCTTTAAACATCGTCGCCTGTCGAGACTTGCCATAAACAAGCCTTTTTATTTCATTATATCTTGCCCAAAGATGCGTTGTGCTGTCTAATCTTTCAGCTGCACTGCTAACCGAGCTGCTGTAGTCGCCAGCCTTCTTCAAAGCAGGGTGGTGGTGATGATGCCGAACGCACCCTGTACACTTTCCTTCTGCAGCAGCTGGGCGGCAGGCTTTCGTGCTGCATCCCGCAGCAGAAAACGATGGAACGGCTTCAACACCCCAGTTGCCATTTCTGGGTATGAAGTAAAAGGAGAGCGTGGCACTTTTTACAGCATTATGCTTTTAACTTGATAAAGGCACTTTCGCTTGAATGGGCAATACGTGGCACAACCCCCTCCGGTTCGGGCAGCCTGAATGTTATTTGACAGCAAGCACACAGAGGCTAGAAAGGGTTTCCAGTTGTTTATCCAACAAATTGCAGCACCCAATCAATACCTCGTGGTTCAACAGTATCCCAAACCAAGAAGAGTCGAACACGAGATCTCCACCCCGCCCTCCCTGTCCTGCAGTGACTTGCAGTTCCTCAGTCAACAGACGAAAAGAAAACATTGATGGAAATTTCTGCAATTAGAAAAACTCACCCTCAGAGAGCTGCGTAACGTTAGACAGCATTCATGATAAGTATTCTGTTTCTGTGCGTTTGAGATAGGCACCATGGTCTACTTTAATGTTCCGTCTTATTTGATTAATTTGAAAAATGCTGTCTTGTAAAGCCAGGTTTAAATTAATGCATTAATGTAATGAATTAATGTAAAGCCATTTGAATTAATATATAATGATTTATGAAAAATACCTAAGTTCTTAGTTTAAAAAATTGATCCATTACAATATTATGTTCAAAATATACGGCCGTGTATTTTGTGTCATGGGGTGCTCCTTGGGGGCTGTGTTTACTTGAGTTATGCAATCATGTTCTGTGTTTTCCTAAACACAGCAGAAATAATATAACAGTCATCACAGATTGGCAAACTGTTTGCCTGGACACTCATCACTTACCACACAGTTACAGGCAGATGGAGAGACACAAAACAAAGGAAGGAGGGACAGTGTGCTGTGATCCATGATAACTGCACTGCATACAGCCATTTTATGTGTCCCCTATTTAAGTCCTGAGTTTTGGGCAGAAATATAATATTATGGGGACATCCAGGGGAAGGTGGAACCAGGTCTGTGTCTTTTCCCCCATTTCTTTATTTGTTGCAGACAGTAGAGTAGGGGGAGTATAATAGAAGATATTGTTTGGGACTGCTGGAACTGAAGAGGACGCTATATACAATTGAGGGACTGTGCTGTTTTGTCTCTGTCTTAAGTGCAGAGGAAGGATGTACACTAAGATACCAGACTGATCTGAGCTGGTTTGGGACAGGGGTGTTGCTGGATGTTTTGGTTACTCTGCACCACAATGTTCATGTTTTTGTGTATATGTCCCTTATGAATCTTTTTTTTCCTGCATTCTTTATATTGATTACACTGTGATAATGTTTTGTGGTTGATAGAGGAATAAAAACTATTATTTCATATTCCTGCCTTGGGTGTGCTGACAGTTCTGTAGAATCCAATGAACCTGCATGGGGAGAAGGGCCCCAGGACCTTTAAAACAGCTAGGTGGTGAATTCAGGACTATATGTGGTGATACCTTTAGCACAAATGCTTATTTCTCCAATAAGTGTACAATTCCAAAAGATCTTTACAGAGTCTTGTTCAAATCAAAATCTATAGTCACTCCTGAGGGGAAAGCTCTATACAGGCGCCGCACTCCATGCGCCCCAATAGTCCTGGGATGCTCTTCTGGAGGTGCAGGAGGATATTCAGCTCACATTGGAAAGCCTGTACACATCTCCCCTCCCTGTAAGAGCTGGCAACCTGCAGTGGAAGATCCTGGACTCCACCCTGGCTGTTACCTCCTTTAAATCTGTAGCTAGAGATTTAGAGGGAAACTCAGTTTTCCACAGCTATGGCATCTATTCTCACCCAGCACCCATATTTAGTCTTCTTATCTGGCTCTTTATCAACCCCGACCTAGTCTTCTGTACTACTATCTTTTCAAGATGGGTTACATTTAAAAGAGGAAGAAAGCTACCCATTTCTTATCACAATGGAAAATCTTACGATATCAATACAGCAGCAGGACAAAGCTGTGGGGGCGGTCCATGGTGTTTAGGGCCCCCAAGGGCGGCACAAACGCTAAAAGAAGTGCTTCAGCAGGATATCAAAATATCAAATGACTAGCACGCCTCACTGAGTAATGAAAATGGGCTTCAGTGTACTTGAAACAGTCTTCTCCAGGCTGATATTGTCCATAGTACCTATATTAAACCAGGTTCACCACAGTACCTATCACACCTAACCATGCTTCAAATTGTTTTGTGCAATCATATGAAAGCTTGAGCAAAAATATCAGTACTTATCTAATTTAAATTACACAGCCTTTAAAACAAGCAAATGATTAAATCTGAGAAATTATTTTATTAAAATCAACTGAGAAGTTAATTTCCATCAAACCTCTTCAGTGTACAAGGTAAAACATTGTATTACAGAGAAAATAATGTGGAAATTAAGCATCTTTTCTTGACCAAGGGGGAGACATGCTCTCTGAGAAATGATATGTAGCCAGGCAGTTCATTTATCCATTTGCTTGGTTTGCCAGTCCCTCCTCTGTCTTCTTCTGATAGTTTCTCTCAGACTGTTTTCTCCTGTAAACATCATCTGGAAAACAACAACCAAATGCACCTTTATGACAGTAGGCGACTTGTTGCATATTGCATTATTAAACGAAATTTAAAAGTTAATTAACATCAGTTACATCAAAAACTCAGTTGAAACGTTTAAAATTTTAAATTTTGATAAATGAAAAAATGATATTTCTCGGATCATTGCAAAAACATCGGATTGTGCAGTTCATCACTCAAGACAAACGCTCCAAATAAACGTAGAAATGTTTTAGGATAATTAGAAAGCGGAGCGGTACACATTAAAATGTATACCTGACGTGCTATTACTAAAACTTTTAGTAAAAGAAGCTTTATGTGCTTTATGTTGACTTACAGAAAGTCTCCTTCCCGATCCTCACATTGATCATAATCCACTCCATCACTCCTCCCAGAACGAAAAATAGTGGCAGGAATCTGTACGTACCAAAGCGACGCTTTCCCGGAACTAAGCTTAGTACATATCTAATGCTTTGACTGTTCAGAAGCATTTTCTATTTTTAATACACTTCAGGAAACTCTGAATCTTACGTCGAGACAGGAACCGTAAATAATAAACACTGAAAACACTTGTTAAAACATTTTAGTGGGTAGACTGAACACCATGCAAAACTTCCATTGCTAAGGCAGACAAGTTCGGTTTGAATCAAACTGCAACTAAAAAAACTATTCCCCAGAACGCGTTCTCTCTCTGAAACCTCTACCACTTACATCAACACCACCACCACAAAGAAAACGCTTTCTTTCACTTCCTAACAAACTAGTAGAAGTAGCTACGGAACCTCTACGGGGACAAACATCCCTTTTTCTCCTTTGTTATTGAATTCGATGATTACCATAAGCACCAACATGTTATGTTAAAAATGTTTGTCGTTACCCTTCGTATGGAAGCC